CTGCTCCCGCCGGGGCTCCTCCGGGTCAGCCGCGCGCGTGGTATTCTTCCGGGGGCTCCTCCCGGAACTTGACCCGCCCCCCTTCCTTCTCGGGTGGGGTCTGCCCCAGGCGGTTCGAGCTTCCCAAGGTGAGGTTGTAGTTCTGGGCGGACATCGCCAACGAGAGGCCTTTCTGGGGCTCGTGCGCCTCCCAGAGGTACGCGTGGAAAGCGCCCGACCTCCACCTCCCGAACCGCTTGAGCCGCTCCAGGTCTGGTATGGCGTGGTACATTGCCGCGGCGCCTCCGATCCTCAGGGAGTGGCTCCCGATGCGCGAGGGATGTATCCCCACCGCCTTCGCCGCCTGGCCCAAGAGGTCGGTGATGTCTCTCCGCCGGATGGGGTTCCCATCCCCGTCTCGGAAGAGAGGGAGGTCTCCCTCCGAGGTCCACCGCTGGGGCGCCAACCTCTCCAGCTCGGCGAGGGCTCCGACAGGGCAAAGGGGGTTGCCCGTGGCGTAGCGGTTGCGGCAGCATCCGAAATTGTACTGGTCGGTCTTGCTCCCCTTGATGTAGATAACCACCTCGTCCGCGGACGCGAAGGTGGGGCAGACCGCGCCCTCCCTCCTCGGGGTGACATCCCTCCCGAAGAGGACCCGCTCCCCCGCCCAATCCCTACCCCCGGAGGTGTCGGCGAGGTACTCGGAGGCGCGCAACATAAAGAAGAAGGCGGTGGTGAGGGCGGCCCAGGCGGCCGCGTCTCCTACCCTCCCGGTGTCCAACTTCCCCCTTAGCCCTTAGCCAGCGCATCATCCCAATGGTGACAGGGTACTTCCGATTCTGCTTGGCGCCCATCCTCCGTAGTCCCCCCAGCGCCAGCGCGAGCCTGGGGGCCAGCTCCAGAGGGCCCGGGCATCCCGCCGCGATATGATAGTGGCGGACCGCCATCAGCTTTCCCCGGATCGTCCCCTCCGAGCGATGCTGGACATGGGCCAGGTGGACGATCCAGTCCAGGAGCACGCCCTCATCCTGCCGCCGGCCCTCCCTCCCCAGCCCCGTGAGGAGCGGGCTCCCGCCCCAGGTTTTGAGGAAAAGGCGCCACTGCCTCCACGCCACGGCGTAGGAGGTGCGCGTCCCCTTTGCGAGGCTCCCGAAGATGAGGCTGTCCCGTAGGCGCTCCCTCTCGTCCGCCAGGCGGCCTCCCCCAATCTGAGGTTGCTCCCCCTCCGCCGTCAGCAGAGGGCACTGGGGCCCCGCCTGGGTCTGGGGTTTCCGGCCGCGAGGCGCCGCCGTGAGCGTCCCCATGACCTCCTCCTCCTCCTCCTCCTCCTCCTGGGCGAGGCGCCTCAGGCGCGGGCCCCTTGCCCCCCTCTCGGTCCACGTCGTCCCCGTCGGGGGGGCGGTGCTGGAGGGGGCGAAGGAGCCCCCAATCCCCCGCGTCCGGGGCCCCAGCAAAGGGGGAGCGGGCCCCGCCAAGTGGGGGCCGCCCAGCAGGCCTGCACCTCCGCTCTGCGGGGCCCCTCCGGGTGGTCCTCCAGCCCGGGCCCCGCGGGCCTCTCGGAGCCACCGCTCGCAAGCTGTCCGGGGGTCCTCGGGGTTAGCCTTCCAGGCGCTGAACCACGTCGCGTTGGCCGCGGCCATGAAGTCCTCATCAGGGTCTCGGCACACCCCTGCCCGGGCTCCCTTCGCGAGGAGGCCCTCCCTCGCGCTGGCCGCTGCCCACGGCACTTGGTGTGCGGAGACGGGCGGCATGGAGCGGGCGGCGCCCATGAGGAGCACCTCCTCAAGTACCCCCGCACGGGTTCCCTCCCGCCAATCGTGAAGGAGGCACCCGGAAATCTGCCAGGCCTCCTTGGGATCGAAGCGCCTCACCCGAGGGGTGCCATCCCCCCGCGCGTCTTCCAATAGCACGGGGTAGTGCCCGGAGACTTCGTCAGGGTGCCAGAGTGGGTAGTCAGGCCCGCTGCTCATCGGGCTAAAGATGACCCTGACGTCTCCCTCCGACTCCCGGGTGCTCTTCCAGGTCCCGGCCGCCTGGAGGGCGGTGGGGCGCCCTCCCTCCCCGCGGTCGGCCCTCTCAGGGACCTTGAAGTGGCGCCAGTGGGCCCTCCCCTCCTCCTCCTGCATGTAGAGCTCCGGAGGGACTGCCTCGGGCGTCAACAGGGCGCTACTGAGGTTCAGTGGGACCAATCGCTCGCCCCGCCGCAGGAGTGCGAAGGCGGCGCTCCCCCAGTTCCCCCCGTCTCTCCAGGCAAGGAGGAGGCGGCGCGACCTCGCGCACCGGTCCCCAAGGAGGTGGGTGTGCGCTTTCCGCAGTGTCGTACCCACCCTCCTGCAGGACCTCGCGGGCTTCTCCCAGATCCTGGTCCAGGGGTCCGTCCAGCACGACGAAGGTGGCGGCGTGGGAGAGCGCGTGCCGCACGAAGTAGAGGGCCTCTCGGCCGGTGGGGTCGCTGCCACTGGAGCAGGTGACCCAAGTCTCCTTCACCGCGGTCCTGGCCCGCCCGGCCCGGTCGGCCACGAGTCGATTCTGGTGGACCTCCCACCAGGGGTGGCTCACAGCTGAGCCGGGATTGGGGGTGGTGGCTCCGATCCGTGCCCCCATCTCCCCGGCCACCCGGCAGTAGGGGGAGAGGGTCGCACGACACTCGAAGACCTGCACCCCGGCCAAGGGTCCGGCGGGCGGCCCCCGCGACCGGCGGCGCTCCACCAGCTGGTAGGCCAGCCGGCGTCCCTCCTCCGAGTCTCCAGGGAGGACCAAAGGGCGGCCTTTCTCCGCCCCCGCGAGCACTTCCCTCCAGGGTCCCTTGAGGTCGATCTCCTCCAAGCCGAGGCGGTTCATCTCCTCCTGGACTACGCTCCTCGTCTCCCGGGAGATGAGGTCCATGCTGCTATTGTGCTTGGTCCAAATTCCCGCCGCAACCGCGTGGAACCCGTGGCGGGTCTCCAGGAGTTGGAGGAGGCGCAGTCCGTAGCGGGCAAGGCGGTTCTTCGCCGTCCGCTTGTTGAGCTAGATCTCCGCGCTGGTGTTGTCCGTGACGTAGAGGACCAGGCGCCCCTCCCATTTCGGGGCCTGGGCCACCGCGAGCACCAGGAAGGTAAACAGCTCGCAGATGGCGATGATGTCGGCTCCCTCCCCGAAAACCGCGTGGAACGGCTCCATGACCTCCTTGACATCCATGACTCCGTACACCCCGTTTGACCAGTCGGCGGCCCCCACCCGGGTCTCGGTGGCGCCCCCTCCGGTCCAGACCAGCTCCTCCATTCCGCCGGGGAGGGCGAGCCGCTCCTGGGGTTGGAAGACCCCCTTCAAGCCTGCATTAAAGTGGGTGGTCCAGGCCTAGGGCGCTCCCGCGTATAGGCGGAAAACTTCCACCGCCTCCCACCACTCATCCCACGCGTCCTTCTCCCTCCCCTCGCTGCTCTCCTTGATCTTGACCCAAACCCCAGCCGGGTCCGCAGTGCGGAGGAGCCGGTCTACCGCCCCCAAATCGGGGCGGAGGGGGGGGCAGGTGATGGCCGCGAAGTTGAGGGTGCCGCGGAGGACCTGGACACTTCAGGGCTACCTGGGTGTTCCCCGTGTCGTAGGCCGGGTCACTCAGCAGGATCCGGATCTTGTTGACCTTCTCCTCGGGAAGCCGCAGGGTCTCCTCCTCCGTGTTCACGTGGACCCCCCAGCAGATCTGGTCCACGCGGAACTCTCCCTCCTCGTCCTTCTTCTCCGCGTTGATCGCAAGAGGGCCGAATACTCTACGGGCCCCCTCCTCGGCCAGCCTAGCGGCCATCCAGGGGCGCCGTCCCAGGAGGGGCTCGATGAGGACGTCGTCGCCCATGAGGAGGTGCGAGTGGTGGGGCGCGTCGTCGTGCCATCCTGGGTCGGCCGGCCGGTGGCGGTCATGGTACTGCTTCAGGGCCGCCCCGAAGGCCATGTACTCCCCCGGGCCCCCGATCCACCCGAAGGCGAGGACGAAGTAGATGGCCACCAGGTTGCCCTCCATCCCGACCACCTTGCCAGGGAGCTCCGTGGCGAACATGCCGGCATCCTCCGCCCGTAACCAGATCCAGCGGAAGGCCTCCGCTATGTCCCGCTTGGCGATCAGGATTTTTACCCCCGGGTGCCGCTCCTTCCACCAGGTGATCTCTCTCGCCAGCCCCCGATGGCGGGGCTGCAAGGCTGGGGGGTGGAGGTACTTGTGCCCCGTCTCGTTCATCGCCCTCTGGTCGTGGATAAACCTTCCTTCCTCCGAGATCGCGCGGTCGGGGTTCATCTTCGGCACCCTTCCCCAGGGGGAGGAGAGGACCCCGCTTAGGTAAGGTTCCGAGTCCTTTCCGCAGAGGAGGACCCTCCCCCTCTTGGCGTCCTTCCACAACTTCTCCATCGCCTCCTCCATGTGCCCCTGCACGCTCATGTGCGGTTTGGAGGGGGCCCGAACCTGGGCCAGCGGTTGGCGGGCGGGAACCCCGCCCTTCACCATCTGGTGGAGGTAATCCCTGAGGTCGGGGTCGAGCAGCTCGCATAGCTCATCCTTGAAGACCCCGTCCAGGTTGTTCCCCCACCGGCTCGTCCAGGCCTCTCGGTAGCAGTCGACTGCTTCCTTCCAGCCTCCCGCCGCCTGGACTAGGCCATCACCGAGTCGGGCCCCCTCCTTCACAACTTCGGGGGAGTACTTGGGGTTGTCCGCACAATGAGTGCACAGCTCCTGCGCCCAGTCCTGAGCGGTTCGGCCCGCTCTTCCCGGCGCCTGGTTTCCCGATTCCGTCCCGCTTTCCAGGCTGCCAGCTGCCCGTTGGGGAGGCATCCAGGGCCCCTCTCCCTCCCCATCTTGGCTCCCTCCCGCATCGTCCCCTTCCTCTCCTGAGGGCCTGAGTTTACCATCTCCCGTGGCCCCCCCCCCCCCTCGAGGGCGTGGCGGGCGGGTGTTTCGTGGCCGCCCAAATGGCCAGCGCCACGGCGCGGGCGAAGCGCGGGGGGCATTGGGCGGCTTCCCTTGTCCGCTTGATGCCTGTCCCTGGGACGTTATCCCTGAGCTCCACGTGCTGGTGCATCGGGGAGAGACCGGGGCAGGGTCTCCGGAGCTTCGTGAAGAAGGGGGCCAGGTTCGCGGCGACGACCAGCCAGCACCCCTTGCGATAGAACTGATGGGGGGACGAAGCGTCTGAGGGATGGAGGCCCCAGGCGCACATCGTTCCCGGGATGATCGCGGCACCGGTCTCCTCCAGGATTTCCAACCACTCGGGGAGGTCGTAGACCTTGGGATATATCCCACTGTGCTCCTGGTTCTCGAAGATCCACCCCTTCCTCCACTTATGAAGGTCCCGTATGCACCTTACCGTGGTCTGGGAGAGGGCGTTTCCCAAGACCTCCTTGGCGTTTACACCGGTCCCCTCCGGCTTCTCCCAGGTGCGGGTGCCCCCTTTGGTGTTGCGGTCGCAGAAGGAGGTACACGGGTTTTCGAACATCCACACGTTGGCCACTCCCGGGCCCGGGGGAGTATCTGCCTCTTTGACCAGGGCCGTGGTCCTCCCTCCTCTCCGACTCCTTGGGGCGCAGGGGGTTCCGGTACAGCTCCACAGGCTCATCCGCTTGGATGCCCAGCTGCTTCACCGCGCGGGCCACCCCCGCGGCCCCCGCGAACACTTCCTTGAAGCGGGGCCCCCAGCGGAAAGCGGGCGTGCCCCCCAAAGCACCGGGGTGCTCCGAGACGAGCTCCTCCCACAGCTGGAGGGCGGCCCTGATTGCGGGTGCCCGGGCAGGCTCTGCCGTTGCAGCCCTCCAGCCCGCCCTGAGAGCCGCCCCCCTCGCCGCGGGGCGCTCCTCGCATGCCTGGCACTTGACGCAGGTGCTCCAAGAGACCTCCGTGCCTCGGGCGTCGCGGTTGAGGAATTCCTCCCAGCCATTCATGATCGTGGCCTCCCTCCGAAGAGTCTGATGGAGGGCTTTCAGGCACGCATCCCCTTTCGCTTCTCCCGAGGTCAGGGTTCGGGGGCGAAGGGCGCGGGCGTGCCCCCGGTGGATCAACATCCAGGCCTGAGGTGAGCCCTCCCCGGAGCGGGCTCCTTCCAGAAGGTGCGCGGTCACTTTTCCACCGTAGTCCATCATCACGACGTTTAGGACGACATCCTCCAGGAGGCGGAGGGGGAACACGACCAGGGCGCGGTAGTCCTTGTCGTGGTGTGGGGCGGCCGCGTCGTGGATGAAGATCCGGAGGTCCGCCTCCCCGACCACCAGCTTGGCCTCCGGAGGCCCCAGTGATTCTTCCGCCCGAACTGCTTGGTCCAGCTGCTCCGCTCTGGCCGTGAGCGCGCGCGCCCAGACCTCCGAGAGGCCGGGCGGCCCCCTTCCCTCACAGGCCCAGAGGGCGGCGCCCACCGCGCTCAGGAGGACACACTGCTTTCTCTCACAGTCCTCCTGGATGCCCAAGCGCTCCGCGAGGAGAGGGTCCTCTCTGAGGGGGAGGCGGCCGTGGAAATCGAGCACGTCCCACTCCCCTCCATCCATTTGGAGGGTCCCCCGCCCTACCCCGCCCCCCTCGTCCGGGGCTTGGAGGAGCCGGGCGTAGCCCCTGCGGCCTGGGGGGCGGGCGCCCCCCCCCCGGGTGCCGCCGGGCTCAGGCGCGAGCCGATCGAGGCAGTCGGCGGCCTCCCTGACCAGCTCCCAGTTGGGTCCGTCCACGATCCTCCGGAGTACGGCAAACACCCCTAAAGTCGCCGTCGAGGCCAGGTGCTCCTCCAGGAGGTGGTTCTTGACCGCGGTTTCCAGGTGCCGGGAGGGCCCCCCCCTGAGGAACTCTCGCACATCGGGGCGCGCGTTAATGGCCTGCATTCCGGCCTCCCGCGCCTCCTCCTCTGGGTCGTCCGGGTCCCCCACTGGGTTGAGGCGATGCGCCTTATGGTGGTTCTCGGTGAAGCTGAAGTCCGGACCGTTGCAGTACTGATCCAAGACGTCTTCCCGCCCGGGGAGGGGGGTGAACCAGTCATATTCCCCCCTGGTCGGGTCCCAGGCCCGGACGTGCGTGGGCGGCTCGTCCCCCCGCTCGGTTGAGGGCCCCCCATGGAGGGCAGCCAGCCGCGCCGGTTGATCCTGTTCCGCCACCACGGGCTGGTCCTTCCAGCCCCCTCGGCGCACCAGCTCCCCCATGAGTGGGGCCGGCAGTCCCCGAGCGGGTCCCAAGTCGCAGTGGGCGTGGGGGCAGGCCCCCCCCCCTCCCTCACACCCCCGGTGGCTGGCGTAGCCCCAGCAAAGCAGGAGCCCCCTCTGGTCCCTGGGAGTAGCCCCCCGCGCCAGTGCCTTCCGCACCGCTCGGGCGTAACCCGGGGCTGTGGTGGGGGGGGGGCTCCCGCCGCGGGGGCTGTCCCCTCCCCTTCCCCCTCGATCCCCGGTGAAGGACTTCCTGGCTGACCTTCCCCCGGCTCCTCCTCCCGCAGTGTGCCGGCGGTAGTTTGGGCGGCGTGGAGGTAGCCACCCAGCATCTCCCCCTCCTCCGAAGTGGCGCTCTGGCTTCCCGCTCCGCCCCTTCCCGCCTCGAGTGGCGCGTCGGGGACCGGGTTGTCCCCGCCAGCCCGGGCGGCCGCCTCGTTCGGCGCATCCAAGGTCTCCTGGGTAAGGGGAATCAGGTAGCGGATCTCGCTCTCTTCGTCGGCCAGGCAGGTGTGGTTCTCGTTCGGCACGAAGCCTCCCGGCGGCGCACTCGCCGAGCGAGGCTGCCGGGCTCGGCCTCCGGTGGCCCCTTCCCTCCCACGCGAAGGGGGGGGGCTCCGGCGACGCCTGCCTCGCGGCCGGCCCCACCTCGTCTTCTTCCGGGTGGGGGCTCAAGGCGGCGCCCCACTCCAGGGGGTCCACCGGCGGGCTTGATGCTGCCGCCTCCTCCCCCACAGGGGGGGCCTCCTCCTCGTCCACCTCCTGCGCTCCTCCGCTCGTGCGCGGGTAGGCGCAAAGAAGGGCGTGGCCGAGGAGGGGGGAGGGGCCCTCGGCGGGCGGCTCCCGATTGGCGTTCGGAGGGGGGCGCGGGAACGCGCCAGGCCCGCGGGGGGGTTCTTCCCACCCACGTCCGCCCCTCGGACGCACGGACCCGGGCCCGGGGAGGGCCCCCCCGCCCCGAGACTGGCAGGGTCCGATCCTCCCCCGACGAAGGCGCGGGGCAACGATCCGATGGTAGTACTCCGCGGGGTCCTCGACGACGAACGTGCGGGGGATCTTCACGCGGGCTCTCCCGCGCACATCCGGGGCTGTGGCATAGGCCGTCAGCTCCGGCAGCGCGGTTGGGTGGGAGCCAATCTCGGCCTCCACGGACCGGAGCTCGCCCCGCATCTTCGCCCACCAGTGCCACGTGAGCTCCTCCCAGACCTCCATCAAGTCGGCGAGGGACAGGTACTCCGGCCGGTCTTGATGTTCGCGTAGCAAGAACCGTAAGGCGGTGGTCCTGGGCAGTGAGTGCTCCTGCCCATAAGTCAGGGCGAACCCCCGGATCTGCGTCTGGGCGGCCTCCGCCCACGTGCCAAGGTCTGCGGGGGCCGGCGAGGGGGGCCCCCTCCTGCGTCCTTCCGCGGAGACGAGGGGCCCGGCGCCCGCGCCCCTGGCGACCACGAAGTCGGCCACCGTGAGGGCGTTCGGGTCGGCGGGTTCCGCCTTAGGGGCACTCATCAGGCAGGCCGCCAAACCATACGCAATCCGGTTGCTGAGCGGGAGGGGCCAGCCGACCCCTTCCAGCAAGGCGAGGGCCCCCCGGCCGTGCCCGCGCAGGGTCAGATAGAGCTCCCGCCCAAGATGGGCAGGTCCCACGGCCACCTGGAAGGTGCCGCATCCCCGCGCGAGGTGGCATACCCTCCGCGAAGCCCCTTGGAGGTATATGAGGTTCCCCCCCCCGTCCTCTCCCCTCGCGGGGGGACGGTGCGCCCGCAGGAGCGCGGGAACGGAGGAACCCTTTCGCTTCCATTCTCCGGGGACGACGGCCTGAGCCGATTCGGCGGGGGTTCCCTCCACCGGCTGGAGGGCGCGGGGGCTCTCCCCCCGCCTCCATGGGGGCGTGGGGCGGGGGTCCTGGGGCTTCAGCGGCAGCTTGGGGGAGGCCCCCCGCGGTCGGAGGGCGAGGGCCCGCACCGCGCTCCCCGCCCTTTCCCGTAGGTCAAGTTGGGCAGTGACCTCCTCCAGCCGAGGACGCACCGAGGGGAGGAGGAGCGGGTTCTCCAGGTGCTCCCGGGCCTGCTCCAGAATCGCGATCCGCACTCGGTGCGGCTTCCGGCCCACGGCTGCCGCCACCTCCAGCATCTTCGCCCCCGTCGGCTTGCCTGGGGCACCCGCCTGGAGGTACAGCCCCAGCTCCGTGCTGTTCGGCTCCATCACCGGCGTTCCCCCCGCTCGGCGCCCCGGGGCGTGGCCCCTCCCCAACCTCGGCAGCTCTTCCTTGCTTGAGGGCGTGTGGAGCAGGCGGGCGATGCGACCGCCTCGAGGGGGCGGGGAAGCAGATCTTCCCTCCGCGCGCAGGATAGAGCGCGGCCCCCCAAGGGCGTTGCACAGCGCCCCCCCTCCCCGGGTTTGCTGCCCGGGAGGGATGACCCGCGCGTAGGGGTGGGGAGGGCACCTACAGGTCAGAAAAACTTCGCCCACTGTAGCAGGTCGGCTAGCGTACAGGGCTTCCCCCCGCCCTCACTTGCATCCCCCAGCTGGGCATAGGTGGCCCCCGTGATTTCCCGGGCGTCAAATGGGGGGCGGGAGGCGTTGAGGCGCACCTCGGAAGAGAGGCTCCAGGGTCCCACCGCCCATAGTGGGAACGCCAGCTCAACCTCCACTCCTGGCATCCAAATCCCCGCCCAGTCCTTCTTTCCTCCTCTCCCCCGCGCCTCTCCCCACCCTATCCCTCGGGCAGTAGTGTAAGGGCGGGCGCCTTCCCCGGTGTCGGCGGGCTCGTAGAGGCGGATCAAGTACTTCCGTCCGACCGTATCCTCCGCTTGGGTGGGGATGGTCGGAGGTGGCGTAGCCCTCCCCCCATTCACAGTCGCGGGGGCCGCCCCATCACCCTCGGGGGGGCCTTCAGACACGAGTGCGCCCGGGACGCCGTGCGTCAGCTGGTGGCAGTCAGGCCCCACCGGCACGCCAGGGGCGGCCGCGGGGTTAGGGGGCACCTCACTGGAGGCGGCCGGCTCCGCGGGCGGGGGGGAGGGAGGCCCCCTGGTTGTCCCCAGTGCGGGCCCCCCCTCCGCAGGGCCCGCAGCGGGGACCGCGGAGGGCTCAGTGGCCGGCCCGGCATCACTTAGGCGCGCTGGGTCAAGGGGGGACTTGCTAGTATCCGCCCTTCCCTCCCCCTCTCGAGCAGGCTGCGGAGAGGGGTTCGCGTGCCTGAGGCAGAGGCGCTTCCCACCGAACCCGGGTTCCCCGATGTGCCAGCAGCCTGGCTCCGAGCACTGGAGGCTCAGGCGGAGGTTGTGGTACTCCAGGCCGTGGTAGCGGCACAAGCAGGCCATCGGTGCCCCTCCCCCGTTGCGCGGCCATCCCCGGGTGTCGGACGTGGGCCCGTCCTCGATGAGCAAAGGGGTGGGCTTAGGTCCCCTCCGATCCTCGCAAGTGCCATGCTTCTGGAGGCAACAGTGCCCTCCCTTCGCGTCTACCCAGCCCACTGCTTCGGCCATGCAGGGTTCCCAGTCGTCTTCTTCCTGCTGAGGTCCCCGGGGGGTCGCGGCGACCTGGCGCGGTCACGGCCGGCGCAGGCGGGCCCCCCTCCGGCAACAGCAACAACCCCGGGCCAGGAAGGAATGGGCGATGCGCTGGACCCCACCCCAGAATGCCCTCCAGAGGGTGCGGAGGCCGGCCAGGAAGGTGCTTCCCAGGTCCCTGTCCTCGGCGAGGTCGAGGATGGCCTTGGCGTCGACCGCGGTATATTTCCGGAAGTGCATGGCGAAGGCGTCCACGCTGGAACAGCTGTCCACGGGTCC